GCTCAGAGGGGCTGGGCTCGGAGCTGGGGGTCGGGGGGTGCCCGGCTCAGAGGGGCTTACCACGCCGCTTACCTCCTCTCCCAGAGCCTCAGCGAACTGCGTCCAGGAGCTCCTGCCGCTGGAGCTCGCAGCTCTGCCCCCTTACCACATGGCTCCGAGCGGGAGGACCTCAGGCCCCGCCCGAGCCAGGCCGCTGCAGCGCTGTCCAGGGCCGCTCCTAGGTGCGGTGCGCTGAGGCAATGGGGGAAGGCGAAGGCGGAGGCGGGGGGGGAGCCTCTGACATTCTCGTGGGGGCCCCTGCGGGGCCCGGGTCCTGAGGCAAATTGCCCCACTTGCGCCCCCCTCTGGGCGGCCCTGCTGCTTAATGCAGAGCTGTGATAAAAACAAAACAAACAAAAACACACTGAACCAGATGTTGAGATGCATCGGGAATTGGATGTAGAATACCAAAAATATTATAATGTCATAATCTAAATTCCCTGGGGTGATCTCATCTAGAATACTGTCTATAGAACCGACCAGCCCTGGGTTTGAGATGGGGGACATTGGACTCCCTGTTTGTGTACCAGTGCAAAGGCCCAGTACAATAAGGTTCAGTTTTGTCCCATAACTAGTACTAATAAGTAGCCTGCTGCATTCATAGCACATGAAACGAGATGGTGTTCTGAGCGTAGGGCTGGGCATTCTGCATTCTAATTCCAGCTCTAGCACTATGTGGCTTTGAATGAGTCCCTTAACTTCTCTGCTTCATGTTCCCTATTTGGAATATGGGGATAGTAATACTTATATACATCACAGGAAGACCGTGAGGATTAATTCATGTCTGTAAAACACTTTAAAATGAAAAACACTATATAAATGCTAAGCAAAATCAGGTATTATATACAGTAAAACCTGCCTTCAGCAGCCACATCTTCTTCGGCATCTCCACTACTGCAGGTTTGCAACTAATTGTAGCCCATGGTGTATGATTCTCTGCTCATCTCTTTTTGGCTATAGCCAAGATACCACATTATCCATCCATGATCTTCTTTTTCTGTTTCGTTTTCTTCTGTCATTAACTTTCCCTTCCAGTGCTTGTAAATATGCATTGGCTGCTGAACATCGCAAAATGTGCCCTGCAAATTGAATCTTTCTTTTTCATAAGATCTCTGATGAGTGTTTGCTGAGTTCCAGTCATTTCTAATACTTTTTTTGATGATTACACAACCACATTAGGGACCAGCAGAAATCTGTTGCTTATAAGAGGTAATGTACTCATAACAGTTGAGCAGAATTCATAGAATCATAGGACTGGAAGGGACCTCGAGAGCTCATCTAGTCCAGTTCCCTGCACTCATGGCAGGATTGAGTATTATCTAGACCATTCCTGACAGGGGTTTGTCTAACCTGCTCTTAAAAATCTCCAATGATGGCGATTCCACAACCTCCCTAGGCAATTTATTTTCAGTGTTTAACCACCCTGACAGCTAGGAAGTTTTTCCTAATGTCCAACCTAAACCTCCCTTGCTGCAATTTAAACCCATTGCTTCTTGTCCTATCCTCAGAGGTTAAGAAGAACAATTTTTCTCCCTCCTCCTTGTAAAAACCTTTTATGTACTTGAAAACTGTTATCATGTTCCCTCTCTGTCTTCTTTTCCAGACTAAACAAACTCTGTTTTTTCAATCTTCCCTCATAGGTCATGTTTTCTAGACCTTTAATCATTTTTGTTGTTCTTCTCTGGACTTTCTCCAGTTTACAATATTCCAATTGAGGCCTAATCAGCGTGGAGTAGAGCGGAAGAATTACTTGTCATGTTTTGCTTACAACACTCCTGCTAATACATCCCAGAATGATGTTCCCTTTTTTTTCAACAGTGTACACTGTTGATTCGTATGTAGCTTATGGTCCACTATGACCCCTAGATCCCTTTCTGCTGTACTCCAACCTAGGCAATCATTTCCCATTAATTGGGGTGGTCTCCTAAAACAGGAGGTTGCCTACTGTGGAGAGAACGCCTGTGCAAGTTTCACTGTAATACCATACCGTCATATGATAATATCCACCCCCAGATCGCTGTATTTGCATCAGTGATGGGATCTTAAGCAGGGGGTTATAATTCATATGTGGGGGGTTCCAAAGCACTCTACATCTTCAGGTGTAGAGTGGTCCAGTTAGTCAGTTTGTCCGATTAATGGTGCTCTATTTGTTTTTGATGAAGGGTCTTTTTTCCTCCCCAGCAGTAACCTTACTGAACTTAAAACAGCAAGAAAAACTGCTCAAAAGAGTCAAAAGAGAAAGGGTGAAATCCCACCCCCCATGGAAATTAATGGGAGTTTTGCCATTGACTTCCATGGGGTCAGGATTTCACCCCAAGTTCCCATAGTACTGAAGAGTCATTTTTACATACCAAGATCCTGATTTTCAGTTACTTTAAGGCCCCTATACAGTACTCTGGCAGTGTAGAGGTGGGTTAAAGTAGGTGTAAATTATATTCACAGCCACTTTAAAGCACCTTTTACTCTGAGCCTGAGGCCTTGGCTACACTGGCGCTGCACAGCGCTGCAACTTGCTGCCCTCAGGGGTGTGAAAAAACACCCTCCTGAGCACAGCGAGAACAGCGCTGTAAAGTGCCAGTGTAATCAGAGCCTGCAGCGCTGCAAGCTATTCCCCTCGGAGAGGTGGAGTACATACAGCGCTGCAAGAACTCTCTCGCAGCGCTGGCGGCGCAACTACACTCGCGCTTCACAGCGCTGCCGCGGCAGTGCTGGGAAGTCCCGAGTGTAGCCAAGGCCTCAGTGTGACTGTGAACTGTGACCTGAAACTGTAATTGTTCAATTTTGAAAGAGAAGAGGCATAAATAGTGTGTGTATGTGTGTGTGTATATATAGATAGATAGGAGAGAGAAAAAGAGAGAGAGAGAGAGAGAGATGCTTTTAAGAGATATAAAGAGGAAGCGGAAAGAACTCTACATTTCAATGTGACCTGCTCTGTGTGAGTAATCAGGTGATTGGGGGGGGGGTTGCCCAAAGTAAGTAATATTTCCTTATAAAGACAAAATCTATCTCACTGCCAGATGACGTTTGATCACTCTAGTCACTTCCTTCGTTGGGGTCACATACTGAAGGTTGACAAGTTGCACTTCGGATCAGAAAGGAGGGTTTTCCTAGGCACACTCCAAGCTGCTTCTACTTATTTTTTTACAGCTTTCAAACAAGGTAATTTTACAAAAAATCTTTCCTTTCAGTTTGAGTTGGATCTCACACTGCCTGGTAATTTGGACCACAGCATTAGATTTCTGGTATGCTTACAGCACCTGTTATTTTTCTGTGCACCCACCCTCAATGTGCACTCTAGCAGTTTAACTGCACAGGAAACCTGTGGTCACCAGAAGCAAGAGCATAGGATCAGTAACAGCATGAATCATTTTCCAGTCTAGTGCAGATTATTTCTATAAACCTTTGGGAGTATATGTAGTGTGTTATTTTGATATATTGCCGTTCGTTCGATTTATATCAGAGTTATCGGCTGTATTTGATCCATTTGAAAATGTTGTGAGAATGAGTGGATTGATGTGGTGGTGTAGTTTAATTTTAGTTCCAGTGGTCTGAAAAAGGCTGATATTTTCTAGATGATTTACTTTTTCTGATACGGCTTAAAATTGTTGCTTGTTAGGAAGACATACAAGCTAACCTATTATCTGTCTAATTTCACTGTGCTGTCCCTTCCCCGATAATGGGAGCCATATTGGGTTATCAATTTTAAGGCAGAACTTATCACTGATTTCAGTAGGGACTACTGCTTAAAAACATGTGGGATGGCCCCAGAATAAAACTTCGTTTTTAAAAGCCTGAGCCAATGTGCGTTTAAGTCAGTCAAAGTATTGCCATTGACTTGAATGGGCTTTGATTTAGACTCTAAATTTATTGTGTGTTACAAGTCTCTGGATTCTCCGGGTGGCTTTATCTCTTCTGAGCATTCAGAGGACGTTTGCACAAACAAGGATCTTCCTGCTGATCCTTCCATTCCATAATTTCCATAGACTTTCCTGCCTCCCTCGGCCAGGCAGGTGTGGATTCACCATGAAGTTAATTCAAGCTTCATTAAACATTGGCTGTATAGAACTGTGGAACATTATGTCTCTGGATGACTTTGATTTCCAAATCATAAATGAAATGAGATGGCAGGTTCTAAATACATGACACTAAAATTTCAGGAAAGAATAACAAATATATATTAACCAAGATACAAAATCTTCGTTAACGTGACACAAAATGTAATGGCCAAATCCTGTAGTCCTTAGTCCACTAACATCGAAGGGAGTTTGTCTCAATGCAGGATTTGTCCACTAGCTCCTCCATCTATCAAGTGAAGATAATCTTAAAAACAAATTACAAATGAGGCTACTTCTTTAGGGATGCAGATGGATTGTTGACAAATGGAGTTTGATCATTTTGGTGAAATCTCAGGGCCACGTGTGTAGAGGGGACCCTCCATACTCATATCTCTCCCTCCTTATGCTGAAGGGGTGGGTCAGACCTCCATGGTGTCTGAAAGTAGAGAATGAGTGGAAGGGGAGGGCAGGGAAAGACCCAGGCAGTCTCCGCCTGCATCGAGTAGAAACAGAAAACCCCCTTCTTATTGGAAAATCCCATTAAGAGCTGGCACAAGCTGCATGAGCCATTTGGGAAATTCCTGATAGCACAGCTAGGTATTTCTGCATAAGAGCGTGATTTGGCTGATAGAAAGTTCTGCTCTCTCTTGATATAGTGTCAAAATGTATTTACTGTAATCCCAGAAGTTGAAGTAAATGATAATACATTCTTCCCCACCCCAGAAAAAATCATATAGTCAGTTTTTAATCAGAAGCCTCCATTGAAATACATTAAGAGTTCTGCCTAAACATGGATGATGTAATATAGCTCTAGAATTTGCAAGATACTTTTCAAAAGTAACTGACTGTAAGCGTATGCAGAATGGCATTCACTGAGTATAGTCTCCTCTCTTCTGCCCACAAAATTAGCATGAAACAGATAGTGTTATATCATGCCGTTGATTTTTAAGCCCCGGTACTGGTATTAGGGAGATGAGCTTAAAATTCAGTGGCACAATATGACTCCGTGGAAATGATGACCTTAATACGAAGATTTTGATGGAGATCTTACAGCAATGGTTGTCACAAAGATTTTATTAAAAGATGTGCTTACTTTGGAAAGTGTGTGTATATAGGAAATGGGTGGCGAAACAGGGAGATAAATTAAAATTAAACGGTGACTTGCCTTCAAAATACCAGTTAATTAATTCATCTACTTATCTCTTTCGTACACAGCTGCAGAATCTAGTCAAATTCTGATGATGTTTTGCAATATGTTTAGCAAATCAAACCACATTTAGCATACTAAATCCTATCTTGTTACCATACAGTGGTAGGCTCATCATTGGTCATTCTGTACTAAACCAGGCCCTTTACAATTAACAAAAAGGAAAATGGGTGCTGAGGATACAGAATAAATTGGTGCTGAGGGAAAGAGAAGGGTTTTGATGATGATTTTCATCAGTTAAATTATTGTTATTAATTATTTTTATTACTAGTAATTACCCATTACTGTGATGATGACTAGATTGTGGTAGCAACCTAAATATGCTAGGCATTTTCTGAACACGGGAAGACACTGCCCCTGAGGTGGAGAGTGTGCATGCAATCTTAAAGACGAACACAGATGATTGATGGGAGGGGAAAAGGATGAAACACGCAAACAGAATGATCATCAGGGTGGTAATGGGCACATGACTTCTTAGACAGGTGTTTATTTGTTGTCATTTTTGTTCTCTTTTTTCAAAGTTAGACACACTAAACTCCCCTTATCCCCCCTTCCCTCCACAATTTAACCTTCCCAGCTTTCTCTCATGCTGAATCCCAGATTCAGTTCCAGTGTCCTTAGGCCTCTCCTCCCCAACATTTCACCTCCCTCCCACCATGCAGTAGAGCAGTTCATTTATGAATCAAAGAAACAGAAAAGTGGATGATTTAGTCAGATAGTTTCTTGAAGGAATCACAAAAGTGAGTTTTCTTGAGGGAAGGTGCAGAGGTAGTTGTGGGAGAAGCAGACAAACAGGGCACTGGCAGAGTAGAGAGGGTGAGGTGATAAGATACAAAGGCAGGTAGGTAAGGAGAGGCAGAATTATGTAGGGTCTGAACAGGTTTAGAACAGCAGGCATAAGGAAACTTTAGTTTACCTAGAAAATAGTAACTAATTGGAAGGACCTCCTAAGCAAGGTTGTTGAAGCAAAGACCCAGGGACAATTAAATAGAAGTCATTCAAGAGCATATAGGAAAGCAGTACACCACAGTCAAACAACAGTAGGATACACAGAGTTTTCTTCCATTTCTAGTGTTCTTGGGATAGCTGAATGAGTTTGGGCCATATCATGACCTCAATTTTAAAGCAGAATTCCCCACTGAAAGCAATAAGGAGTTCTGCATAACTGATAACACAATATGGCCCTTAGTATGCCCCAGGAAGAAATCTACCAGCAGATTTTCATACTGGGGCAAAAAGCAAAAAAGGACTGGAGAATATGAGAAAAAATCCTTCATAAATCCCATTGGAACACCAAACTCAAATAAATATTAATAGTTTATACATAAAAATATTTTGGCAGCTCTTTGTTTTACCTTCTGAATATATTTTGAAAGTTTAGCTGGTTATGATTATTTTACATGCACCATGTTATTGGTTACGTACTAATACGCTTGAAATATGTACAGTAATTTTCTTCTATGAATTTATATCAAATACATTTATTATACTGTACATATTCAGCATACTTTAATTGAGTAAACACTTTGAGGTACGTCTAACAACCCACCACCATGCATAGTGCCACCACATTTTGCAGAGCCCCTGGGACTCTACTGCATAGGAATGGGGGATCGATTTGAGAGAGACTGTCCTCTGTTTACGTAAGATTTCTTTATGCAGTCCCTCTCTGCACTCAGTAGGTGCTGAACATGTAGATTAAGTCTGCTTGCTAATATCCGAAGTGGACTTTGCTGGGAATTCTGCTCATTGCCCTTCTCAGGTTCTAAGAAGTGTTATGTCGGCTATTTCTACAGCAGGAAAAATTTGATGGATTTATTGCACAGAAGGGCAGGGCTAGTGATTCCACAACTCTGCATAACCACTGGCCAAAAATCCCTGCAGGATTAGCAGCCACTACTACAGCCTAATAGTGGCTGGGCTGGTGTGTGGGAAGGAGGACTCCATTCCCCTACAACCTCTCTGGAACTCTCTTGCATAAACTCTGTTTACTTAAGCTAGGTCTAGGATCCAAGATTTGGCCTTAAGCACTTAATAAATTATATTGAGAAACAATGTCCTTTCTTGAAAGCTTACAAAATTAAGACTTGTGTAGCACCACCATGTTGTCTTTCAAGCAGAGATAAATATGTCGTTTTACTACAGTCTCTTCAAATTCTCTGATGCAGCATCTTTATCATTCAGCAGCTATATTGGGGATGGCTATAGTCTTTTTGGGGACGGTATTATCATTTACTGTGGACCAATTGTGAACCCCTTATATTCACACTGGGGAGCAGTTACTCACAGAAGTAATCCCATTGACTTCATGAGGGTTGCACAATCTTGTCCTGTAGTTCTATACAATGCCTTGCACAGTGCAGTCCCAACCTAGTTGAAACTTCTAGGCGCTACCGTAATAGGAATGTTACGTATTGTTAATGGAGTCAGGTACATTTTGGGCTGTTTGGGATTCAGAATTTAATTCAACACCTGTGAGAAAATTAGAATGAAACATTTAACTTTATTGTGTATTTGTAGCTATTTAAGTAGGCCGATGGACACACTACAAAGAATATACACCTAGAAAAAGAGCATTTTCTTAAATGCAGCATATTCAAAATACATTAGTCAGTCTATACCCTTCAGTGATCTTGGAAGTCATTTTATTAAGAATTACATTTTAATTTGATATTTTGTTCAGAAATTGTTGGTGTTTCCTAATGTAGTTAACCACAGTGGCCTAGGAAGGAGTACTGCGGAAAGGGATCTGGAGGTCATAGTGGACCACAAGCTAAATATGAGCCAACAGTGTAACACTGTTGCAAGAAAAGCAAGCATCATTCTGGGATGTATTGGCAAGAGTGTTGTAAGCAAGACTCGAGAAGTAATTCTTCCGCTCTACTCCGCTCTGATCA